CAGGGCTGATACATAGAGGAACCACCCTCAGATGTAAGGCTTCTATTGATGTGTGTAACAGCTAGTAAACACCAAGACTAAAATTCTTTGAAAATCATTTAAGAACGGTTGACATAGATGGAGAGGATCCATTAACATGCATTTTTAGGCCTTGCTAGATATCTTAAATCACATTAATGTCATTTCTTTGACTAGGCCATTTTAACACATGACTATGCTTTGGTCTAAATTATTCCATCCTAGCGCTGGACGAATATTTAGAACTACTAGAAGCTGAACCTGTGCTTCAGCTTTTTTTGTCCCACAGAGGAAAACAATGTCCTGCATTTGACTGGGTCAGATCCTGAAACGTCAAAAAAAGAATTCAACAGGTGTGTTTCTAAAACGTAAAGAAAGCAAAGCTGCAGTCAATGTCACAGAGCCACGCCACTTTTCAATCAAAATACAAAGCAGCCCAATACCTCATGACATGATGTTCTTAAAAATAACCAACCATTTAAAGGATTTTAATAAAAAACGTACACAAAATATGATGAAAACTATGTTTAAGGAAAATAGGGTTAGGATGTTAGTGAGGGAATAAACATCCTTGTTGCCTCAATTTTTTTTTTATTTTGAAGCTCAAAAAAACGCTACAGCTAATAACTATTTCACTTATGTGTTTTCTCTACCTCTGAACTCCTTCCTTGGATTAATTGTTTATTGAAAACTTTCATTGATTGTGAAGCTTTCCCAGTCTGCTTGCCAGATGCACACATATAATCACTGTGTATATCTGGACAAACTCATATGGAACAAAACTGACTGGTTTACCTTGCCATTCAAAAATTTCAATTTGTAGTAAAAAACATACCCAAAGCGGAGGTGTTTTACTTTGTCATCATGTCAGTCTTCTGTCTGACTCATGACATTCCTGTCAAATTGCTGGGTAGGTCCGACCAAAATAGACCAGGGGTCTACCTCGGACAGAGCTACACAAGCACAGTAGTAGAGAATCGTGTGCGGTCTGACTAGCCCCATGCATTTCAATGAGATGTAATTTCCAAGACTTCATATGACCAGGCCATCAATCAGCTTGGCCCTACTTTGTGTTCAGTAATTTCTGGCCTTAAGAAGACAGTCCGTCTCATGGGGTTTCTGTTGTTGGCAATCTGAGAGCGACCGTAAAAGAAGGACAAAGTTCTATGAAATGGAGTTGGAATTAATAACGGCAGTCAGTACAAAAGTTAACATACCATCTGAACTCTTGTTTGCTGTCTGTGGCTTACCTTGTCAGTTAGCACACTAACTAATCACAACTATCTAATCTCTTTACCAGAAAGCTGAAAGTTAGGATCTGACATCCATCTTAGCTCCCACATTTTAGCTGAGCTTAACACAATTAAGTGTTATTGAGACAGAGGAGCGAGGAAAGATGAAATGCAGTGATTAGAGGAAGGGGATGAGCCTTTTCAAAAACTGAAGCAATGAAATACATGCTTAGGAGTTTTTAGAAAACCCGGCTACCATTAAAAGTAATTACTCTATTTTTTTTTTCTTTAAAAGAAATCTGCCAAAGTTAACTGACTAAAACACCTGCATCACTGCACTTTTATAAGACAAAATCCACAATTCTTGCTATATTGTTTTAAGTTGCCATGGAGAACGAGTAGGAAAAGTGAACAATGCTGTTGTGTGCTTTCTTTTTATTCCCTTTTCCTGGAACTTTCCTGTACCTCCCTCTGAGTCACATGCTGATATAAAAAGAGAAAAGAAACTCCACTTGTGCATTCTGACTTGGCACTTTACTGCCATTAACACAGGTCTACTCTTCTCCAGCCTGAAAATACAACACCAGAAAGCTTTTTAGTCCTCTATATATGTGAGCTACTGGGTGAAGCGTGAGGGGATGTTAGTGAGCAAGAGTTTCTATTTTGTCCAAAAATGTCATAATAACCAACAAACTGAATGCATCAATGCAAAACAAAACATACGTATGTTTGTCAAGAGTCAAAAACTGTGATTTATTATTTTCCCGAAATCATCAGCAAAGCCATGATTTGCATTTTGTGCAAAAGATTGAAAGAAATTATAGTAGGTGTTATGCTAGAAAACAAAATATTGATAGCTTAAACTATTTTTAGGTCATTTTGATGTCACATTAGTTCTTTGGGGAGTTTGCATGTAATTTGGCAGCGAAATATGCAGTGAAGGGACAAAAAGAGGATGGGTGGACAGGAATGGCTACACTTTATTTTCATCTACTAACTATGTCATGGTCATGGTAAACTACAATGTAGCCACAGCTGCTCTGAGGAATGTCCTTTTTTGGTATCTGGCCAAACCTAAGATCAGCTCTACTTTAAAATCTCTATTATATAGATTTTTAACATATAGCATATAATATACTTCAAAGCAAAAAATATATGGCTATTCCTGTTTTGTTTTTTGGGTTGTTGTATTCATTGTATTCTTCTGTTAAAATATATGGCTTCCCAGAGAATCCAAAAGTCACAACTCAAGTTGTCTAGAAACTGAAGCCAGTTAGAGCTGGGGGGGCCCTGCAGATCAAAGATGATGGCTGAGAAAAACATTTTCAGGCACATGAAGAAATAATCCAACAGGTGTAAAAAAAAATGTTTTTTTTTTTTTTTTTTTTTTTGACAGTATCAATATTGGCTACCCTCAGAGAACAGGTGTAAGCCTTTACCAGTTTTTGAATGTCCCCCAATCTGAAAATGCACCTGTAGCTGCCTATGGTTGAGGCTCCATGTAGGGGTCCTGTTTGCTCTGATCAAAACATAACAGGCTCTCCAAGACATGAATTGACTAAGAAATCCTAAACTTATAACTGCCTTAATAGTTTATGGGGATCTATGTTTGGAATCAACAGAGTCTTTCCAGTTCCTCTTGCCACATCTCTCTCCCTATAATAATTCTTGAGGTTGCTTGTTGCAGATGATGATCATATTGGATAAATTGGGTCATTTTATACATATGAGCATTAATGTGTGTAATGCAGATACGCATTACAAACAGTAATAATTATATTTTTCAATCCAGGAAATGTGGTATCTTTACATCCATTAGGCAATTTATTCATTAACAGTTCCCATTGTTACTCCTATGATTTCTAAACTGATATGTGAGGTTCTGTCCGCTGGTTTTTCAACATGTTTCTCTTCTGTGGATCATAAAAAAATCCTGCAAAATTTATCGCATTGCATTCAGGTTCTCCATCGATTCTTCACAAGGGACTCCGTCCTGCAACGTCCTATAGTGCACAGCGTATAACAGGTGTAACCTGCTTAGTTTTTCAGAACAACTTCCTTTTTATCTCAACTTCTGTTGTGGCATTTGTGGTGTGTTTTTTGGTTGATGTATTGTGACTTTAGATTTTTCGTTGTTTTTTGGGGGGGATTATGTTAACCTGTATGGGCAACAAGTAAATATACCTTTAGAAAAAGAAATTAAAGAAATAAGAGGTGGTCTAATAACTTCTTTAAGGACTGTATATCCAAAACCATTTTCTTTTTCCATACTTATCCAGATTTAGAAAACAATCAAAAATTCCAGGCTTTTCCAGCCCGCAGAGGAAAAGCAAATGTATATAAAAACACACATAAGGTTTGAGCATTAAGGTCAGAAGTCCATCCAAGTAGCAAAGGGGGATTATTAATTTGACAGTAAAATTAGCTGGTTAAGATTGAAAGTTTTGACAATTAGCTAATCTCACTTTAACACTGATATTTAATATTGCAAAAAATTTAATAATCTAAATAAGTTATTTCCTTCTCAAAATAATTGCATTTTTCTTGAATTGAGGAGGTAAAATAAATACTTTGCCACTGGAACAATACAATTTACATAAGAAAAAGAAATTGCATTGTTATCTTATTTTAGGAGTCAAAAAACACTAATTCCATTAGCAAAGCATCTTATTTACCTAGTTAAATTAAGGGTACATAAACTTTAAGAAATTTTTACTTATTTGTAGATGATTTTTGCAATGTAGATGTGAACCAAAGGATCTTTAGGATTTAGCATCCTATCAAATATTGTGGCTAAAATGGAATTTATTATTGGAATTTAATTTTCCCACGCCGATTAAAAGAACTAAGATTGAATATAGTGAGCAGCTCTGGACAGCTTATACTAATAAACAGGAAATCCTGACCTGGACTTACATTTTGCATTTAATAAGGGAAGCCTCCAACAGAACTGGTGAAAAACAAAGGAATATTTAATGAAGGAAGGGGACAGCTGAACAGGGACATAATGCGCAGGACAGGAGGAAGGATGGAGGACAGGGAACACAGAAGATCAGTAATAGATACCCTGAAACACAGGGTGTGCTGCTGTAATGACCACATGGTGTTATCACCTAACAAATCTTTCAAACAGGGTCCATAATATAAAGTTCTGTGCAGTAATCTCCATTAAAGGGGGAAAAAAAGAAAGACAGGTTACTGACCGCTAAAGCTTATGAATAAGGCACTATCTAGAGGACGTTTCATATAAAAGGTGAAAAATATCGATTAGTTGTCAGGGCACTATTTGGTAATATACACACCTTTCTTCCAATCATCTAATAGAAGCAAAATGGACTCCACTACAAATGTCTGACCTTACACCCCTTATCTCCCCCCCCTCGGGTTGCTGGGACCAACTGCTTTCTGTCTCCAAAGCTCATCCTAAAACAGACCTTTCAAAGAGGGCAGGACCCTCCATTCCATAAATAGGTCTGCCTCGGTGTGTGAAAATAACAGCAAGTCGCTCTGAAGTTCGACCACTTTAAAGTTAGTCAGCATCAAGTTTGTCCATTGATCACCGTCATTGTCACCCTTAAAAACAAAAGGGAAAAGAACGAAACATAAAAGGGGAGGGAGAGTCACAGAGAAGAAACAACGGTGGTAGGAGGAGAGGGGGGGTGTTTGACTCAGCAAATACTGAAGGTCAACATCATCAGAGAAAGGCTTTGTCTGCAGAAGGGTATTTATTTCTTCAGTATGGTTATTTACCTCAGTGTATCGCCCAGTGTGCTCCTCTTGGAGGTCTGGGGGAGACAAGATGGCAAAGAGCTCTCATTCCAGGGCCTCACTCACTCAGCTCGACCTGAATAAAAGACCAACACAAAACGTTATTGTTTAAGGGCTGTTTCCAAATAGCACCAACTCTACATTTTCATTATCTTCTGCAAGACAGAGGACAAGAGATTCTTTGTTAGATGAAATGGAGTCGGCCATGTGATGCTAAATAACATGAAATTAAAAGCTGAAACAATGTTATTAAATTAGTAAGATTTTTACTCTGAAACAAAAGCCAGGTGAAAATAAATGCATCTGGCTTCCTCTACAGCATAAATTCTATGCAGAGCAAAAAAAGTATTTTTAACAGACTCAGTCAAAAGCACATCTTTCTTTTGAGCAAGTGTAGAAAGAAATCTGAACTCGTACAATAATTTACATCTTTTTAAAATACCCCTACAAGTGGCATAATGCTAATTAGTCTGCAACAAAAAGAAGGTGTTGCACATGTTTACTGACTGGAAACAAGACCTAAACAAGAGCTGAAACAATGGAAATTATCGTAAAACTCCCATAAGAAGGTAATTAAATCATGAGCATTATATAACACCCTCAGTTTTCCGTAAACAGTTTCATTTGGAGCAAATATAAACAAAATGGGTTAGGTTGTAAAGGTGAAAGTTCTCACTGAAAAAAGGGATTCAAAGGATAAATGTTTAATCATCAAGGAAGTTTTTTTTTTGTGCTTGTGCTGTGACAAAACACAGGATAAGTTGACTTAAACAAACTAAAAAAAAAAAACTCATCATGCTTCTTCCTCCAAACACAGTTAGTGGAATTATGACCAAAAAGTTCTATTTCTATTTCCACTTGACTTTCTCCCATGACTCCTCTGGATCATCCAAATAGTCATTGGCAAACTTAAAGGGGTCATAGAATGATCATATAGGGTATTTGGTGCTGGTCTTTAAGGTCTCTGAATATGGTGTGTAACATTGGTTGGGCTTAAAATGACATATTTGCTGTTCTATGCGCCCTAATGCAAGCCTTGTTATAAGCCCTAGAATGAAACGACAGGTTTTCTTCCTTTTATGGTATGCTCATGAATATTTAGATGAGCTGTGCGCTGACTGGTTGGATTTCAACGGGCGAAGCTGCTAACAGAAAGATGCATCATAGTAAAAAGCACTCACTCACTGAAACATTGAAATTGTTGATATGGTATGGTGACCAGATGTCCTCTTTTTTCCTGAAATGTCTTACATTTCATATCTAAAAAAATGTCTGGGGGGATATTCATCCTGGATTTTGGTCGCCTACAGTCCTGCATGTAGTCGAAACAGTGCCGGCATTCGAACCGAACCGTCAGCTCCGGCCACCCCATGCTTCCCCCCGCACCGCCTGGCTTACTAGGCAGGCGGGGGAAGCACGGTAAGGCAGACTGAGGGAAGCATACCGTCACCGGGTCGGGTTCAGTCGCTCCGTCCCCCTCTGGCTCAATTTGAATGCCCAGTCCAGTCCAGTCAGCAAAATGTTTAGAGCAAGTGAACAGCTGAGCATCAAAGTTTGCAGGGATCTTCTGATAGACAAAAATATCCATGCCTGTGAGCCCACAAGGTGACAGTTTAAAGCCCTAGTCAGAGGGAGATTGACAGTCATATTTAGCTTCTTCCATTTTCTAACAATTGCTCCAACAGTGTACCTTTTTTTACCAAGCTGCTTGGCAATTCCCCCGTAGCCCTTTCCAGCCTTGTGGAGGTGTACAATTTTGTCTCCAGTGTCTTTGGTAAATGGTAAATGACATGTACTTATATAGCGCCTTTATTCAAGTCAAGAGACTTGACCAAAGCGCTTTACACTGCATTCATTCACCCATTCACGCACACACTCACACACTGATGGTGGCAAGCTACATTGTAGCCACAGCTACACTGGCGCTACCGGGCCCTCTGACCACCATCAGTAGACAATGCAGGTGAAGTCTCTTGCCCAAGGACACAACAACACTGAAAGTCGGAGTCGGGGCTTGAACCGTCAATCCTTCGATTTCAGGGCAAACTCCTACATCCAACGCCACTGTCGCCCCCAGATATTTGGACAGATATTTGGTCTTGGCTATGTTAGCAGTTGGAATCTTACTAATTGTATGAGGTGGAAAGTTGTCTTTATGCAGCCAACGACCTCAAACAGGTGCATCTTTAGGATAATAAATGGAGTGGAGGTGGAGGGTCAGAATTCTAGCTGATAGACAGGTGTTCAAATACTTATTTGTAGCTGTAGCATACACATAAATAGTTTGGATTTTTTTTTAGATTATGTCTCTCACAGTGGACATTCACCTACAATTTAAGACCCATTCGTGATTTGTAAGTTGGAGAACTTGCAAAATAGCAGGGTGTTCAAATACTTATTTTCCTCAATGTATATTGGTAAAATAGAAAAGGGAAAAAAGAAAAAAATGCCACCATTACCAGATTTAATCCTACATCAGAAAACCAAAAAATACTGACTTACTGTCAATAAGTATGACTTCTTTTGTTGCCTGACAACTTTTAGCTTAGTCATTTAAATTATTTAGGGGGAGCTCAGACAGCCATAAACAATTCTCTAGGTTACATGACTTATTTGGTGATACCTGTAAAGCTACATAATAGAGTTTTTGAGAAAAGTAGCCCGTACGGAGCATCAATATGCACCAAGTGCTTTTTAGTGATTTGAAAAACCTTTAATATAACTCAAATTAAGCTGATACTCTGAACAAAAGTTACGCATGTGTTGCTTTAAATTTGCCTTAAAATACTTTAAAAAAAGAACAAATAAAGCAGATATGGTTTGATGCTATTGGACATATGGAATTGTCAATTTTTCCTGAACAATCAGACAAATATTTGGTATTTTTCTACAACATCATACAGAATATGTATTGAGATAAATATGAATGTCATAAACAGAACATTCATATTGAGTGTTTGCCAGATTTCTCTGTTGCCAGTGTCATTTTTCCAAAACAATAAGGGAAAACAAAAAGTGAAAGCTGTTTTTGCAGTAAAGCGCTCTCTGTGATGATTGGCCCACTTTTTGGCTTGCTTTCCTTGTGTAAGCACACATACATAAAACATAATTTGCTGCTTCAATTTCTGACTTTTATTCAGCTGGGATTTGGTGGCAGACAACATCAGAGCCACAAAAAAACTGAGTGGAGCAGCAACAAACTGCAGCCTTTTTTCTCTGATCCTCTGAGAGGGAGGGGGAATAGAGAGAGTTGGCTGCGTTACAGAGAACAAGGTTTAAAAGCTGACCTCTACACAGAAGAGAAGACAAATGACCATGATTAATGAGCAGCATTCATCTTACAGGTTAAGAAAAGAACAATGTGAACTGTGTTTCCCTGTGCTGCTGTGACAGATCTGCTTGCTGAATGTTTAAACTCCTATCTTGTTTGCTTTCTCCTCACCTCTGATGAAGAAAGTCCTGTCAGTGCAGATCCAGTCATTTTTCACTAGAGGGCAGCCTGTCTAAACATGCCTACCTTCCTTGGATTCATCTTTTACTCGAACCCTATTGAACTGCTTGTGAGAAACTGAGTGGATACAATTATTTACATATCCATCTAGGATTATTTATGTACTTTGGGTGCATTTCAAAACTAAATATGATTCTGAGCTTCTTTGTGGAAATTATATTTTTAGAAAAGCAATTTAAGATGTTTCACTGCAGTTCAACTTGGTCCCATCTTTTTACTTAAATTACATATATTTAAAAACATGAATCAAGGCAGACACTGCACAAAGATTTTAATTTTATTCAATTGATTGCACAGTTCAATTTTATTCTCTGAGCAGTAACAACATTTAAAGTATCAGTCTTGAAAAAATCTGGTCTACCACCACCACTGACCAAATACCCGGTGGCAAACCTTAAAATATCCTCTGTGCGCATCCCTCTTACTGTTACAATGTCCAAGCCTTTGTCACACACACAACAAAAGACACAGACTTCCCTGACATCCAACTTTACTATATACAAAATAAAAAAAATCTCTTCAACTAATTATGAATATTAGGAACAAAAGGTTGAATTGTTTGAAGTATGGTGTTGTAAAAATGACACCATACCACTCTGGTAAAAATCGAAATCTAGATAGTAATATTTTCTTAAAAATAAGTGCATTTGGTCTTGGATTAAGGAGGTAAAAGAGACATTTTGCCAATGAAACAAGATAATTTACACTTAAAATAAGAAAACACAATTGGAAAACACAATTGCATTGTCTTGTTTCATGTGCAAAATATCTAATCATCTTATTTTAGGAGAAAAAATACCCATTCCATTGGCAAACTCTCTAATTTACCTACTCAAATTAAGGGTAAATACACTTAATTTAGGAAGTTTTTCCAGTGCAGTTAGACATTTTCCTTTATAAAGCTTTATAGACACATTATTATTATTATTAATATTATTATTAATAGATATATTATGAGAAAACAAAATATTTTTTTCTCCGCAGAGATGCTTTAGAAAGCAAAGATTGGGGTTTATAGTTTGAAATCAGTTTTTTATCATTCAGACCAGGTAACTCTACCTGCACACATGCCTATCTCAATCTAAGATCCCTATAAACTTGTTGATTTTTTGTTTTTACAAATGGCATATGATTTTCTGTTTTTTTAGGGGGACTAAACAGTCCAAACTTGATGAATCTATGTTGTACATACATTTTTAGAGCACTTAAACCATTAAAATTAATTCATTGGTTGTGACATACCAATAAGAAATAGAAAACTAATTCGCCTCATTTGCTACAACAAATCCAAAGCAGAAAAAGCATAGCACTGTTTTCGTAACTCTTTTGAACATCATGATTTTCGTGGCATTCACCAATATCATGTTCTCCGATGGCAACAAATCATTGTCCAATTCAGTGTGATGGTCTGGAAGACTGCAAGTTCTCTGGTAGAGTCCCACAGACACCCATTTAGAGTCGCTGAGAAAGACCCTTAGCAAAAGTATGCTGAACAAGAGATGGGTTCGATGCAGAGGAACAATTTCATTTTCATCTACAAAAGTCAGTGATGAAGTTTTGAAGAA